TTCAACAACAACCGAGTGAGAAGCGCATACTGGTAGTTCAATCATATGAAAATCGAGTTCAAAATTATCGGCTTGAACTTTGAAATTTGCGAAGGGGCCTCGCAAGGGTGGTACTCCAGAGGAATTGCTGGTCTTTCTCCGTTACACTCACCCAGCCGTAACACCTACCACCCGTATTCACCCGGGACCCAGATCTTCATCCGGCGCTACTCATTTCAGTTTCCATGTCGTATTCGTTTTGCTGATAGATTCAAGACAAATTACTTCACTCCCTGCAACTACTCAGCAGAATGCAATCTAATTTGGCACTTTGCCGGACTCCACCCCCCGACTCCGCCTCCTGTGCCTTCACCCACAGCGCAGGCGTATTCAATCTGCGCTCCGCCCACACTGTTGCCCGTCTCCGTAGGGGTCCGCTGGCTCTAGTAAGAGCGTTGAATAGTGGAGACTATTATACGCTTCATATAACTGCTGCTGCTGCTTCATCGATGCACTTTCGAGATGCCTTTGGCTTTGCCAATTACCAATATCTCAGTGTACGCCTCATGTGATGGTCACTTCCGTTCAATCATCTCCCGACGGGTTGTCTCGGCCAGTAAGCTGGGTGGACCCTTCCATTAGGTGGTCCTTGGGTCGCTGTGGTCTCAGAAAAAACTTTTGAGCAAGGTTAGAAAAGGGTACGCCATTTGGTTCATGATAATCTTCGGGAAAACTCGGGAAGGTGGGTGGCCTGAACTCCCTGAAGAAACCTGAAGAAGGGCACTTAGGGGAAATTATTGGCTATCCACCTACGATCCGACTTCTGAGAAAGGAAATGCCGCAATTATCAACTGAAGCTCCCCGTTTCCATGGGATCGTCGTCGTTTAGTGGAAATTAGTTTGACTAAGCCGAACGTTCGTAATCTCAAAGACAGGGATCTCCCGGGCGTGTTAATGGGGGGATTTACTCCAGATGACGCTATGTTTTTCGTTGTTTTGTATACAATTTGTAGCTGATTACCGTATCTCATTGCAATTTGCATACAATCCCTTATGATACATTGTTTTCGACTTCTTTATTGTCACAGTGGCGTTAAGATGTTTGTTTTTCGCCTTTTCTCATAATTACGGTGCCATTCTTCATGTGATATTTATAGCTTTTCAGCTGGCGATGGCTCCTTGAACTCCTGGACTCCTTAGAAGTTACCTAAAGACCTCAAAGATCGGCCTTTCTTACCCGAAGATCATTTTTCATTGTCTCGTACACCCACTACCCCTTCCACTGCCCATTATGACGTTTTCCGTGATTATTACCAGTTTTGTTGATAGATATGTATGTTCCCGAGCGTACCATCCCATTCCCAGCCCATTCCCAGACGGCTTTTTTGCATTCCAGGGATGCAACGCCTTCATTGCTGGCTGGATCAGCTAACGTTACGTCGTTCACGTCGTCGTGAATCCCTAAATCAACGGCGTAACGTCAGTCAGAGTGTGGCGCCTAGCTGTCGCCTCAATCTCGAGTCAAAGAGCAAAAAACACACTGAACTGAGACCAGTGAACGGTGAGTTCCGGGCTGGTGGAAAACTGGAGAGATTGTGGGAATGGTGCGTGTGTTCGTATTTCAATTCTGAATCCCACAATGCTTTCAGTGCCCATGGTCATGAATGCGATTGGAGCTATTGGTGCTGGCGGCGGTGGCGGCGGCAGTGCTCCGATGATGGCTAGGAAACCCGAGACGGGGTCATTTGCCAGGCGACGGGTAAGATTTCCTTGCTTATTCCAACTCCAACTTCATGCATCCTTCAATGAGATGGGATGAGTGCAAGAAGGGGGCAGTCTCGTATTAAAATGATTAATTTTCCGAGTTGTCTTACATTAGTGACTGCATCTGGGGGGTAAGAAGGGGTAGAGTACACTTTCAAACGCATTAGGAGATTGCTTGTGCTCTATGTGGGTGGGTGTATGGGGTTCCACTTTACTGAGCTCTTTGAATGGCGTGCCTACTACTTTTTCTTCTCATTCTATCCGATTTCCAATTGGAATTTTTCCGAGACTGAATGGAATTAGTCACGAGCATGACAAGCCTGACAATGACAGGACGAAATTCGACTCGCACACTGAGTTCTCGGGTGACACCCACACACATTGTTCAGAAAATTCCCATTTAATCAGAAACTGAAGGAATAGTTACCTAATTTGCTGGTTGGTTAAAGACGTGGATAGCTTTCTGGCTAGTGTCGTCGTCATGAATGACACCATCCCGGGATGGAACCCTAGCTGGGACAGTCCTGTTTTCTCTTCACAGAGGCTTTTCAAAGTAACGTAACTCAGGGCTGTTCTCTGTTCTGCTGATGGGCAAACAGAAATCAGCCAAATTCATTCCCTGACGCCATTTACCCTGTCGGTATGTGCTCTACCTGATGTGCTGACCGAGTAAACTTTGAAGTCTTTACACGATTATGAGTAAAAGCCAAAGCATGGCGTAATCGAAAAAGTTCGTGAAAGACGACCATGTGGTGCAATTATCCTTTGCCCCACTTGGAGACCTGGCTGGCACTGGCTTTAAAAAACTCATGTGGGATATAAAAAAAGTCATAAAGGAGTCGTAAAGTTGCCATGGTATCTCCTTGATTAGCTGCCTTCTCCCCGCTTTACTCCGACTTAGTCCTTATTCGAATCGACTACTATCCTTGACGGCTAATTCAGTCACAACCCAAGTCCAAGGAATTGCAATTTGACATGCAAATTGCTGTTGCGTGGGAGGCAGGAG